GTGTCACAACCAACCACAATTCCCAGAATTCCATAGCATGGAGCTGTGGCAGTTCAAGTGGGGTCAAGCCGGATTGTTTCTCCAGTGCAGATGCAGCTCTGGTCAGAGTGGTTTCCTACCATGGGCTTGGGAGTTATAGTGCAGGAGGATAACTTTGCCAAGCTCTGCTGCAAAAGTATGTAGAGAGAGATCTGGTAGCACTTTTGAGACTAAGTACTGAAAGAAAAAAGTTGGCAGCGGGAACTTTGGTAGACTGAAGTCTACGAAAGCTCCTGCTGCCAGCTTCTTTCTTTCAGTACTTAGGGCCTTTACAGACTGCCCGAAATAGTGCAAATTGAGTCCACTTTATCTGCCCTGACTCAGTGCTAGGGAATCATGGGAACTGTAGTTTATTGTGGCACCAGAGCTCTCTGACAGAGAAGGTTCAATGTCTCAGAAAAAATACAGTTCCCATGATTCCCTAGCACTAACCCTAACCCTAAAAGTGGACTCAATTTGCACTATTTCTAGCAGTCTACAAAGGCCCTTAGTCTCAAAGGTGCTACAAGATCTCTCTCTATATCTCTGATTCCACAGACTAACACGGCTATACATCTTTGAACTCTGCTGCAAAAGTCCTTCCAATGCCCTCCATTTCTCTTTTGCCTCTGCCCAGGAGTCTTCCCTGTACCTCTATTTTTCTCCCTAAGGTGCTGCAGACACCCCTTGAGGTCTCTCCACTCCACTTCCACGAGGTCTTTGGGGGTCACCCAATTGGGGGGGAGCAAAGAGGGGGCCCTTGGGTTACAGGACCCCTCTGAACCCTTTCCATCTTCTCCATGCCTCCTCATCCCTTGTTCTCCCCATAGCTACTTCTCAGCTCCTGATCTCTTCCCCCTCCACCAGTCCCCATATCTATTATTATTATTATTATTATTATTATTGAGTATTTATACCCGCTCTTTCTCAGCTCCTATTTTTCTTCCCTCTCCAACACTCCCCATAGCTATTTCTCAGGAGCTCCTGATCGCTCCTTCCCCCCACAACTCCCCATAGCTCCTTCTCAGCTCTTGATCTCTTCCTTCCCTATACTCTCCCCATGGCTACTTGATCTCTTCCCCCTTCACAACTCCCCATAGCTATTTCTCAAGCCCTGATCTCTTCCTCCCCACACACTTCCCATGGCTCCTTCTCAGCTCCTGATCTCTTTCCCCTCCATCACTCCCCATGGCTATTTCTCATAAGCATTACTTCCATCTTTGTAAATTGCTCCAAATCCCCAGCCTCCCACATCTTTCTTCTTCTCCAGCTTCCTGTCTCTGTTGCTTTGTCAATTTCCGCTTCTCCCTGTAGCATACTCCACTCTTCCCCAATCCTAGTGCCCTCTAAATGTGCAGGACTACAACTCCCACTACTTCCCAGATGTAGTAGGGAGATGGGAGTTGTAGTTCAACACATCTGGACAGTGTTAGATGAGGGAGAACACTCTTGAGCTTTCTCCATCTTTTCTCTTGGCTAGTTGCAACAGTTCATTAATTGTGTGTGTGTGTGTGTGAGTGTGTGAGTGAGTGTGTGAATGAATATGCAGTGTCCTGTGATAATGAGAGAGAATTGGCACTGCAGGGAAAATGGAACAAGTTTGTGCTGATCCATCTCATTTCCTGGCTGTGAAATGAAGAAGTCGAGAAAGGACAACGGAGAGGAGAGCAGACTCTAGCACTGCCTCGTCCGCAACCTGATGTCCTCCGGATCTGTTGAACTACAACACCCATAGCTGCCTGTACAACGATGGGAATTGTAGTTCACACTGCATCTGGAGCCCAATCTTTCCATTGGGAAAGATTAGTCTAGCACAGGGGTAGGCAACCTTTTTGAGCCGGGGGCCGGGTTGTTGTCCCTCAGACAATTGGGGGGCCGAAGCACCAAAAATAAATAAATAAAAAATTTAAAAATTTAAAAAATTTAAAAAATTTAAAAAATATGAATGCACACTCTCTCAGCCCCAGAAAAGCCATGGCAAAACCCCTGTGGAGATTTTGCCAAGAAAACCCCAAGAACAAGTAATAACAACAATAAACAATATTCTCATGTTGGCCGGCAGCGGCAAGACTGGACTGGGGCCGGTCCAAAGGCCTCGGGGGGGGGCCACATCCGTCCCCCGGGCCTTAGGTTGCCTACCCCCGGTCTAGCATATGAGAGAGAGTGTGGGAGGAACTGTACAAGGACATAATGGAGACTTAAAATACCTTTTTTTGGTGGGGGGGGGAATAGATTCTCAAGCAATTTCTCAAATTCTCAAGCAATCCTGACCTGAATTTGCCTGCATTTCTCCACAGATTTATATTATCTCTATTTCTTTTTAATTTTTATTTTATATTAGGTCGATCTTGGATAGGATTTGAAAGCATATGATGCGGCCACATGTTCCTGAAACTATGAAATTTGGGAGTTGGACAGTTTCTGGATGGGATACCACCTGAGGAGCTGGATGCCTTCTTCACAGCTGTAAATTCCAGAATGGAAGAAAAGTGGGGAATAAATGTAATAAATAGATAGCTAATATTAGGGATGTTTAAAGCTACAGTAGTATTTGAAGAACAATTTTTAAGCAGCACTAAAATTGAGCAAATGAATGTTTAAAGCGACTGCATAAAAATAATCTGAAATGCCACAGTGTTTAGTTGTTGTTTTTTTTAAAGAGAGCCAGCATGTTATAGTGGTTTGAGCATATTGGACTATGACTCTGGAGACCAGGGTTGAAATCCCTGCTCAGCCATGGAAACCCTCTGGGTGACTTTGGGGAAGTCACACACTCTCAGCCTCAGAGGAAGTCAAAGGCAGCCCCCCCCGAACAAGTCTTGCCAAGAAAACCCTATGATAGGTTCACCTTAGGGTTGCCATAAATCGGAAACAACTTGAAAGCACGTGACAACAAAAGTTTCCTTCAAACGACTAATTAAATGATAGAATGAAAGTTTTGAAAGGTTGGGTTCAATTTCTTCAAATTAAGATGTTAAATTAAAATACTTTGTTTGTTTGTTTGCTTACATTTGCTAAATATTTTGATGGGGATGGGATTTCAAGAGAGAACAGGACTGTGTATGTATGCAAGGCTACATCTATATATGCAAGGCTACATCTGGAGAGATGGAAAATGGCATATATGGCAATGTACATCTACATATAAAATGGGTTTATATAGCATGAGAATTTTTTAAAAATTTAGTGAATAAAAAGAAATAACATCTTAATCTTTAACATTGAATACAGAATGTATATATATCCAATAAGTACAAGCTTATTCTTCAACATTCATTCTTAACTAAATATATTTTCATTTTGCTTATATATGTTGCTTATATACATACTTATATATGCATTTTGGCGGCACCTTTTTCTATATCCCCAAGAAGAAGGGGAAAGAGAGACATGTCCTTAGTCTCCTTATCACATATAGTTTTCCTTCCTTTCTTAGTATATAGCATGAGAATGAAAGTTTGTGGTGGTTTGGAATGTGTGTATTTGCAGGAGTATGGCAGAGCAAACATTGGCACTTTGGCACTTTTTGATTACCAAGAATGATAACTTCATCTGTGTGCTCCACTTCCATTCCCCCTGTTTGCATGAGTGAAATCCTCACAGCAGCTGGAAGGGACATAGCTTTTACATCAGCAGTAACTTGTTGGGTCCTATCCCAGTTGCAACGTAAAGTATTTGGGAATGGTTTGGTCTTGAATGGGCCATTAAGAGCCATACACTTTACAAAAGACCTGCTCCTAGTAGAGATGTCCTAAAGCTTGGTTTGATGATATTTCACAACAAAAATGTGTGAGAGAGGTTGTAGGCTTTTTTTTTTTAAACTCTTCCTAGGGAGAAAGATATGTTGATGAAGTCTTTGCATGGCTCAAGATGTGTACACTAAGAGGCACTTGTGTGTAAATAGGATGTGCATCTATGGCCTCTAAAGACTAGTTGTGCATTTGAGTGTAAGTGTGTTTGATGGCAGTGCTGAGCAGACCTTGGAAATGTCAATGTTTTGTGATTGCAGCTCCCAGTATCCCTCAGCCAACACACCCAATGGGCATGCAGTCTGGGGAATACTGTATGAGGCAGTGCAAAAAGGTAATTTCCCCATGCTCTTTGTGGTATGGCAAAGCCACCTGTGTAAATTTCAGAAGAGGCTACTGGCCCTGAGGCAGTCAAGCCATCTTCTGTAGAGAAGTGACCAGGGCTGCATCTGCACTGAAGAAATGAACCAGTTTGATACCACTTTAATTGCTATGGCACCAAGCTATGGAATTCTGGGAACTGTGGTCTTGTGGTCATTTAGCCTTCTCTGTCAGAGAGTTCTTGTGCCAAAACAAACCACAAATCCCAGGATTCCATAGCACTGAGCCATGGCAGTTGCAGTGGTGTCAAACTGGATTATTTCTGCAGTGTGGATGGCCTCCAAGTTAAATTTTCCCAAAGAGGTAGCCAAGGTAGTCTCTTGAAGAGCAAAGAGGTTTGTAGTCTGTTGTTTCTGGTATGTGAGAGCTGAGGCTGACACATTTCTGTGTGACTGTTTTGTGACTGATTATGTGTGTAATGTCAGTCCTGGGAGAGCATGTGAGAACACACAAAAGAAAATAAACACCTGCATCTGGACAAGAGTATGTTATACTCTTGTGTATGTAAGAATTTAGTAGAGCTGCCCCAAACCCACAAAAAGATTATTTGCAATAGAAGCCTTATGTTTTTTTAAAAAAAATAGAATTTAAGGTTTTCAGAATCCAGAGCCCACTTCTTCCAGTTTCAAAACTACTGGTTTTTGCAAGTGGTAGAAATATAAATAGTTTTTAACTGCAAGTCCTACAGTCAACTCTGATCATCATTTACACAGATATCAAAAACTAGCCCTCCTTTCCCCACATTCAAATGTGGTATTGTTGTAATTCTTCGAGGCATTTTGAACTTATAGGACCATACTCTCATGGGGTTGAGAGTATGTGACTCACTCAAGGTCACCCAGTGGGTTTTCATGGCAAAGCAAGGAATTGATCCCTGGTCTCCAGAGTTGTAGTGCAATGCTCAGACCATTATACCACACTGGCTCCATGCTGATGTATACAAATGGTATCAAGGTATGTATATTACGGGTAAAATGACTAGAGCTCCCTTTCCAAACACAGTACCCTTGACAGATGGGGCTGTAATGCCCGCATTCCCAGTCAATATGGCATATGCTGTCTAAGGATGATGGGAATTATGCTAGTTTGGGGAGGGGAAGGCTGTAATATCAATCCCACACCTCCTTCAGTACCACCACCTGCTCCTGGGATTGATTTATTTTATTATTTAAGACTGCAAAGCCATCCAAACTTATACTTCGATTTACTTACTTACAATGGATTTACTTACTCCACTGAACCTAATTAGAGTTAGTTTAGTAAGTATGAGAACTTATCTGAGTGTTACAATCTGTGTTCATTATAAAATTCTTTGGGAGACAAAATAGCTGAAAGGTGGTTTATAAAATTAATTAATGAATTGAGTCTAGTTGTACGTTTTTAAAATGGCATTTTAAAAAACTAACCTTTGAACATCTAAGGCATTTAAAAAAAACATTCAAATATATGATTTTGGGGGGGGTTGCCTCAAAATTAGAATCAGACACATTTGGTTTTTAATGAAAGGGTTGGATTCTTTTAAGCTTTCCTCTCTGTTACATGATGGCAAAGAAGCAAGGAATTTGGGAATGCTGTTCTGTGTGAATTTGGGTGAGGTATTATGCAAGCGTGAGCATATGTGTGTGAAAGTGAGCAGTATGTGAGAGTGTGCAAAGGCAAGAGCCTCTCTACACTGTCTTTTTAGTTGTTTGTGTTATAATACTTGACCATCTACACAAGGAAAGGTGCACATTAAAGCTATTGTCTTTCTCTCTGTGCTTTGTGTGTCAGTGTGTTAGCATGTTTATTTCCCTTCCCCATGGGAGTTGCATTTCTCTCTCTTTCTATTCTTGCCTCCCCATCACCATCAAGGCTTTCTGCCTCTCTGCACCAACAGAACAATGGATAGCCCACAAAAGCAAAGAAGGAGGAGACACCACAGGCACTTACAGACACCCCACAAAACCACAATGACACACAGATGTGTTGTCCTTTCTCGCACTCTCGCCTCCGTGCCCTTAAATCCTCGGACAAAGATAAATAAATAAATAAATCACTGCTTGTGCGCTCACACTGAGAGGCACTAGTTGTACACCAGTTGAAATCAAACACAGCACACAAACAACAGACCTCCTGAGTCATATTCTCTCAGTCCCAGTCATAGACAAACAATCTCTCTCCCTCTCTCTGTGTCACACACAGACTGCCCACGCACAAGCACACTCCAGCAGCCTTCCTCTTTTTCACACCTTAGTGGACACCCTGAAATGACCACACAGATTGCAGTTTCCTTCCTTCTTTCTTTCACTTCTTCCTTCCTTCCTTCCATCTTTCTTTCTTTCTTTCTTTCTTTCTTTC